TTATAATAGCACCATCAAGTACCTGGCAACAAAGACACAGTCTACTTATAAGTACTGATCTAGTGATACTCAAGCAATCATACAACCAACGGAATTATAAAAGCACCATCAAGTACCTGGTTACCAAGACACAGGCTACTTGTTAATACTGATCTAATGATACTCAAGCAATCATACAACCAACAGATTTATGATAGCACCATCAAGTACCTGGTAACCGAGACACAGGCTACTTATAAGTACTGATCTAATGATACTCAAGCATTCATACAACCAACGGAATTATAATAGCACCATCAAGTACCTGGTGATAAAGACACAGGCTACTATAAGTACTGATCTAATGATACTCAAGCAATCATACAACCAACGGAATTATAATAGCACCATCAAGTACCTGGTAACCAAGACACAGGTTACTTATGAGTACTGATCTAATAATACTCAAGTAATCATACAACCAACGGATTTATAATAGCACCATCAAGTACCTGGTAACCAAGACACAGGCTACTTATGAGTACTGATCTAATAATACTCAAGCAATCATACAACCAACGGAATTATAATAGCACCATCAAGTACATGGCAACCAAGAAACAGGCTACTATAAGTACTGATCTAATGATACTCAAGCAATCATACAACCAACGGATTTATGATAGCACCATCAAGTACCTGGCAACCAAGAAACAGTCTACTTGTTAATACTGATCTAATGATACTCAAGCAATCATACAATTAACGGATTTATGATAGCACCATCAAGTACCTGGTAACCGAGACACAGGCTACTTATAAGTACTGATCTAATGATACTCAAGCAATCATACAACCAACGGATTTACGATAGCACCATCAAGTACCTGGCAACCGAGACACAGGCTACTGATGAGTACTGATCTAATAATACACAAGCAATTATACAACTAACGGATTTATAATAGCACCATCAAGTACCTGGCAACCAAGAAACAGGCTACTTATAAGTACTGATCTAATGATACTCAAGCAATCATACAACCAACGGATTTGTAATAGCACCACCTGGTAACCAAGGCACAGATGTCACCGTCCCGTCAAACGCTTTCTCCAGCACTTCTCGCGATACAGGCGGGGTGTATTGTGGATTCGTTCTGTAAATGTAAACCAGTGACTGCTGAGAATATGTATGATAGCAGCCAGCTTGGCGGCTTGAGCGTGTACACCTGTGGCGTAACCCACGGGTGACAACTCTAAGTCTATTCAACATAGTAGGAAAGGCACCCGGCAAGTGGGGGTAATACTGGGGTGTAAGTTGGGCCTAATATTACGTTGGGCTTAATAATACCTACACCCTCCGACAAGCATGGCCTCCACAGCCATGTGATTCAGGCCACGCTGAACAGAGACTGTCTACGAGTGAACGTATGTGTTCAGACCACATTCACACCTGACATACACTGTAAACCAGTCCAACACAGAGTCTCTTAATGCCCAACAGTTCAGTATTTGTCCACATTAGAATAGTGATAGGTGTATGTCTTGTGAAAACCCCTTTCGAGTAGCTCTAGTTACCAATGACTTGACAGAGTGGCGGTCGAAGCCCACCGTGGTAGGGCGTCCACAGGGTATTGAACTTCTTGGGATACATTACGCAGAGACACATCCACAAACACCCCACGAACAACCCCGATGTGACACTAGTCTATCGCTGGAACAGAAACACAGTGAGTCCGTTGGTACAGAACTGCTGGCTATGTACGCTGTAGAGAGCCCTACCGGATATAACGAGGTAAGCTGCCTGCTAGTAGGTACAATGTGACACTAGTCTATCGCTGGAACAAAAACACAGTGAGTCCGTTGGTACAGAACTGCTGGCTATGTACGCCGTAGAGAGCCCTACCGGATATAACGATGTAAGGCGCCTGTCAGTAGGTACGATGTGACACTAGTCTATCGCTGGAACAGAAACACAGTGAGTCCGTTGGTACAGAACTGCTGGCTATGTACGCCGTAGAGAGCCCTACCGAATATAACGAGGTAAGGCGCCTGCGAGTTGGTACACCTTTGGATCGATGTGATTCTCCTCCACAAACTTGACGAAGGCGTTATTCTGCATTAGGCTATACGGCTGCGCCCCTCCAACAAGGTCGGCCTGATTTTCTGTGGAATGGGAGACCAAATATAACAATAGCGGACGAATTAATTTGGTATTAAGGGGCGATTTAATTTCACACCAGTGGGTGAGTTGATGTAACAGTAGTGGGTAAGTTAATTTAACATTAGTGGGCGAATTGATTCAACATTGGTGGGTAAATTAATTTAAAAATAGTGGGCTTGACAATTTAACCTAACGAACGGTATAATTCAATACTATGGAGCAGATTAAGTTAAGTGAGCCCGTCAATTTCAAAGTAGGTAAGCAGTTTGGCTTGAAATCGGTGTAGTGAGTTATTCAATTCAAAATTAATGGGCGGTTCAATTAAAGCTAGTCATATAGCATCCGATGAGTGTTTCAATTTAACAAGTGCCGGTTGTTAAAATTAATTTTCGTACGCAAACTAGCATGTATTTCTAATTAACATTCAGTGAGAGGTTCAAAGTGACAATAGAGAGTGGTTTAATGCCGCGCTACTGAACGGATTATCTCATTATTACTGAGCGATTTAGTTCATAGTGTTAGTGAGCAAACTGCTTTCGCATTAGTGAGCCATTTAGTGTGGTGTTAATTGAGCGAACTAATTTCGCATTAGTTAGCCATTTAGTGTGGTGTTAATTTAGCGAACTAATTTCGCATTAGTGAGCCATTTAGTGTGGTGTTAATTGAGCGAACTAATTTCGCATTAGTGAGCCATTTAGTGTGGTGTTAATTTTGCGAACTAGCTTCGCATTAGTCGGCAGTTCACACACCCACGACGACACAGGTGCGTTCGAATTGGAACTGCAGATAGTCATTGTTCTCTCGAGGCGTGTGCGCTGCTGATGTCAGTACTTAAGTGTGGGAAGATCTATAGCTGAGATGTATTGTAAACACACACACAGAACTACACATCAAATACCCAAATAAGATGCATGAAAGCTGTGGGTTGTAGTTTTATATACACATTGTAAATAGTTTAGCATGGAACCTTTCAAGCCTGTCTCGTGCGACGTATGTATAGACATGTATCAGGAGAACTGACAGAGCATAGACATGTCAATACAGGGTATATGAATAGCTACTAAAGGCCGGCAGGCTATCTCGCTAAACAAATTAAGCGACCCTTTGAAACAAACCCAAACCCATTTTTACAAAAAAATTGAAAGTGAATTGAAACAAATAGATAATTTAGACGAATAATTGGTTGGTCTGTGACAGTGTACGTGACTACAATTCGCATGTAATCATTGACCAATAACTGTGATACACTAGTAAAGTCAGTAGTTGCTTGTGTATTCTAGCCAAACATACACCGAAGACCCATGTAGGTATAAACAGGTATACATCTATAAAATAGTAGCAATATCGGCACGATAGACAAAGAATATACACTCGAAAGCAATTATCCTTATATACATATATATGTATATGTATATGTATACACATTTACACACACACACATATATATATATATATATATATATATATATATACTATATATATATATATATAAACACGAATAATTATTGATACAAATATATATATATATATATAAATATAGATATAGATATAGATATATATATATATATATATATATATATATATATATATATATATATATATATATAAATATTAATATATATATATAAACATAAATATATTATATATATATATATATATAAAAATATATATCTATATATATATATAAATGTATATATATATGAAGTGTAGTATCGAACCTACTAGATTTACAGATGCTTTTTTTGTCCTAAGTGCATGAATCTAAACATGGCCACAGCCAACTGTTGTTTACATTTACATACACCCAAAAGTATTTTTTTAAGTGTATATGATTGTTCCATTCTGTGCCACGGATATACAGATACCAGTCTACATACCTGATACTTCATTCGGTCTCGCTGGCAATGCATCGGAACTATTCATTTGGTCAAGTGTATCCTGCCCCACTTGGGTGACATTGCCATTCATCTCACAGGGGCTATCTTAACACTCTTAAATTAGAAAAATAATAACAAACTCACAGTCCACAGCAGTCTCGCAATCTCAAACGTACTGTCTGTACAACCAACCCCGGTTTAAATGATTCCTTGGACGGGAATTTATGATCTGAAAAGTGACTAAATAAAGAGATCTGTGAACTACAGAGTAACCGCGCCAATGCATTCAGGTGCATTAATATAAATAGTAACCGGATACAGATTCTGATAACACGGTAATAAGGAGGGTGGTATTGGTATGTAGGTTGGAATGCATGTATTATGATAGGAATGCGAGTACAATTCGCCGGGCGATCAACTGATAGGTAAAAGAAAATGCAAATGTGTGTGAGTGGAGTGTCCGTGCCAACCCTCGTCAGTCGACAGGCCCTCTGGAATGTAAAAATTTATATATAAAATGTGAAAGAAATATGGATTGTTTAAAATTCAAAGATTGTCAGTACATAGTACATACTGTGTTGAATACAACAGAGTATAATAGTCATAAAGTAAACACAATGATGAGAAACTGGGCACCCACATCACATACACTGACACTACAAAGTGAAACAGAGCCAAATCAAAACGATGAGCTGGTTCATTTAACTCTCAATCTATCTCTAAGAGACCCTCCAACGTCAATTGAAGCACATGTGACATGTACTCAAGTACCAGCGGATACAAACAAATCACATGAAGGGGTCAGAATAGAAGCACATACGGCTCAGGCCAATGAATCAAAAGCGTTGGATTCGCAGTTCAGTACGAGCTCAGTGTTTTCTGAAGATACCTCAACATGTGAGGGGGCTGGTGCGTGTGACGAGATAAACGAAGATATAGGTGTGGTCGATTACACTGGTGTAAAGAGTGATCTGATGCACACTGTGCAAGTGGAAGGTTGTACAGATACGCATACTTTAAGTTTACGAAGGCTACTGCCGGTCAAACCGGGTGATTGTGTTTATGGAGTAGAAGGGTGTGCGAACGTTAGCGGCGCAGATCAAAACCAATCGTATGTAGAGCAATCGGAAACAGAGCCATGCGCAAGTTTAACCACACCTGCAACCAACCATACAAATGCTCATACACACAGTTCTTCAACAGCTTTCACAATACACATCGATGATATTTTACCGCGCGTGAGTGTCACACACAATGTAATCGATGCAGAGTACTTAAACGCGTTGGTGGAGTATATGGAGGATTTGCCAGTGGACAGGAACAGTGTGAATATGAGCGCAGATCGCATGTGGCTCGAATCACCTCAACTGGCGGCACAAATTAGAGATGCTCTGCCGCAGGAGTTGGGTATAACACATGTGATGCCTACACTTAGATTCATCAAATACAACGGTATGCGAATTTGATGTGCTTGATAGTGGGTGATTGACTGTGCACTGTAGACTGTGTGCGTAATTCAGGTTCATTAATTATATAGGTATGCGAGTATGTATAGGTATTTGAGTATCGGGAGTTGACTGTGTATTGCAGTTCATGTGTAATATTTGTGCCATTGTCTATACGCAGGTTCCGTATGAAAATTTAATGCGGCACAGGGCGATCAAAGCTGCATACATTAGATCCTGAGTGGGAATAGTATCGAATCATGTCTGCCTTTTATTTATTGCAACCTTCCTTTTGTGCTCGGCTGACAATGCAATGTAGGCTCAATTTGTTTAATAAGTGAGGTGTGTAATTGGAGATCTATGTGGTCATCGAGAACCCAGTTGGCGATAGTTATTACACAGTTTTTCCATGTGTTTTGCAATAGATCGTATCATATGTACGTTTCATCCAGTTATCAGGCCTAGCAGAATGTACGTATTGTACTAGCAGCAATACCCAGAATACGAGATAGGCACACGGTTTCTTCCTGTATTTCTGCACAACCGCACACTCTATCCCACAGCGGGCGGCTACATCGCATCCCACACCGACGGCATACGCGTGGACGGCAACACAGGCCAGGTCTCCAATACATCGTTCCTGTTGTATCTAACCACTTGTGAGGAAGGCGGTGCAACGAGCTTCCTGCGCTCTTTGTCTGAGCGAGACGAGATACTCGTCAGTGTGCAGCCGCGAGAGAGGAGTATACTGGTGTTTCCGCATACGATACCACACCTGGGCGAGTGTGTGGGTGACGAGCTGAAGATCATGCTGAGGGGAGATGCCGTATGCAAGCACACGGATACGCAGCCGTGAGGTCACGCGATGCTGATGACGTCCTGATGATTCCAAGCCTATAATAAAATATTGTATGAATGTAAGGAGGGGATATATTTTATGTCTTGAGAAGCAGAAATGCTCTGAAATATATTCTGGCCAAGTTGAGGCAAAGTGTGTAAGACTCAACTTTTAAAAGTCTTTTTATGTGAAACCCCATATTCATTGCCATGCAAAGGGACAAACAATTATTGGCAGGCTAAGTACATTATTGCACTGTAGAAGCAACGAGCACAATGAAGATCAATGTCGTAGGTCAGACAATAAATATTATTTAGTCAATCTCAACGACGCTCATTCAACTTTAGGCAATTCTGGCAGAAGCATTATTTATTCTTTTCCTTTGTGTGAGCTTGTTGTTCGTTTGTGTGTTTTTATTAGAATGTATATATACTGTATGCTGAAGTCTGAACGCTGCTGGTAATCATTGCCTTCTCTAGTAGAATGTAGATAGGCAAAGGCTATTTGGTAATCTCTAATCTCTCTCACTCTCTCTACAAGTAGAGAGAGAGAGAGAGAGCACATTGGGGCCTAAAACCCTAAACCCTGGACGGCTGAACCGGTCTGATGAGGACAATCACCAAAAATGAAACATGAGAGTGAAAGCGTATCCCAAGAGCCAAGACTCAATAGTCCAAGACTGGACACTCGACAGTGAGTCGACACTGTCGACAGAGAGCACCATCGTCTATCTGTCACTGCAACAGAACTCAGAAGCCGTTCACACTTCACAACAACAAAAAAAATCATTTTTCTCCAATCCTGTGAGGTTCCACGCGTCGAAGCACCCAAAAACGGATCACGGGGATTTGTAACCCGTTTTAATTGGATATAACCTGGCGGGGTACGATGTCAGTGGCAGGTGGAAGCGGTCCAGAGCTGATCAGCAAATTTTAAAATTTATAACTGTGTACAAACTGTAAATGGATCTAGGGTTTTTTGTCATTGGTAAGTGGTACGGTAGCCTTCTAATAAATTGACACAGCTTAGAGATACTACACGCTGTATTTACTTCTGCAAAGTGCAGTCTGCACTCTGCTGCACTCTGCAGTCTGCAGTCTGCACCTGCACTTTTGCAGTGTACGCCTACCATTCATCAAGTGTGAGTCATGGGCTCTTGGCCAGGCGCCCAGGCCCTCTACGTACAACTTCAAGTCTACTCTTTTTAAAATATGATATGTACATTTGTCGCTGAATGAATAATGGAGTAGTGTGAGAGAAAATCGG